TTGCTATTTTTTACCAAACAGTTACTACAAAGAGCTTAAATGAATTGTTTTAAAATATGAGTAATAACTTTGGAGGAATCTATTGCCAAGTACCAGAATTGTCCAAAACATAGGAAAATATAGGTGTGTTTGACATATTCCAGCACAAAGTTAACATTGTTTTTTTTAAGGAGTTCAGTTAAAAACTACTCTGTATACATTGGGACGTCTAGAAGACATGATAAGGCGCAATATCAAATGCAAGGATTATTATTATTATTACCTCGCAGGAAATTTCAAATATATTTCCAGAAGACAAAATAAAAATTGAGCACACAGTAAGAGTTGAAGTACTCATCTTTTTAAAAAATATATTTTTAGAAGCTAATCGTTTGTAACTTTTTTTTGCTTCACAAATACACATGTATTTAATAAACTTATTTAATTTTCTTCTTCCAGAAATGTGATCTGAGGTTCTTGCATGTTGTGTTCAATGGCGTAACCAAACTCTACGTTACTTTTAAAATCTACATTTTTTAAAATAAAACGAGGGTATTGTATTGTAGTTATGCATATCTAAGTAGTATGATTAAACAGAACAGAAAATGTGTTTCATTTAATTATATTTACCAATATATTCATAAAAGTTCATCCAAATAAAATACTAACGATCCAAGATGACGTTACTGACCTTGTTGACACAATCACAATAATGCGAACCAAATGTTTTTATTGAGTTAACAGGAGTTTGTTTCACATATATCCGTATAATGTGCGTCACTGGATGAAGAGCTACAGGATCTCTGACCAACTTGACCAGACTGGCAGTGTGCCATAGGACGTTGCGTAGTAGTTTCACATTCCTCATTTTAATTCCGATTAGCCACAGGAGAAGGAATGGAGAGAGTGCTGTACTTGCAGAGGGATTATGAAATCACCAGTGTATGCAACAAAAGCCCTCCACAAGAAGGCAGTCTCCATTCATCAAACCATGAGCAGATGGCTTCACCGCTACAACACCATCCTGTCCTGCATGTACATCAGGCTCTGTTGAAGTGAGCAGTTGCGATTAAAATAGTCTAACAATGCCAATATATGCAGCATTTGGGACTACGTTTACATTGATCTACGTACATTGTTGGTAAATAGCTCAATCATAATTTTTTGATTTAGTTGTTTATGCAAGATAATCATTCTCCACCAAAGTCTACAAAAAGTAGCAAGATAATAGAAATAGGCAGTCCTGTAGGTCACAGCTTGTATGCTAGGTATTTTGACTAAAGTAACAACATTTGATGATCGAATGCAAATGAAATGTAAATACCCATAGCAATGGACAAAATATTTGAGGTGCAACAAAATATTTTTTAAGGAAAGATTTTAAGGATTACAAGATATCAAATTAGGACACTTCAAAATAAAGTAACCACAAACACTGTTCATTATTTGCGCTCTGTGTGCATTCTATCTGCATTTGATCTTGTGATCTTTTTACTATTTGCACTTGGAACTTTTCCACATAACACTTTTGTGAGGGTATTATAGTTATGCAAATAACAATAATAATGGTTTATTTATACAATTTGTACATAAATATCAAATTACACAATAAATTGTATTAGCAGTACCTCAAGATCAAAATGATCCATATTAATTGCATCTCTAGTGTTAAAGGGAGCCTCCCAAAAAACGTGTGCACAATCGTTTTTTTTGAGCGGTTCCAGAAACTGTATTGTACTTAATACCTAAATGTACATTTAAAGCAAAACTCTCCTCTTCCTTCCTGGCATTGATTCATGCTAGGTAATGTCTCCATGGGTGTTAACCACAGTCATGCATCTCACTCAAGAGGCAATTCTTTGTGCTTGAGCCCAGTCGGTCAGCATTGGCAAGCTATTTGGTTATGATTGCAAGGAGGCCTGTAGCTCAGTGGTTAGATCATTTGCCTCCCAAAGAGCATCCCGAAAATGTATACGGTAAAAATGTGCACGTACGGTGCACATCAGGGCACCTTCTGAGAGCAGCAAATGCACCTTATCAGGGTGTGTGCGGGCGAGCACATTGATGTGATGCACATGGGGCAACTCCCGACTGTGTTAAAGGGAGTATCCCAAAAAACGTGTGCACAATCTATGTGTGGTGAAGGAATGTACCATAAACAACGGAATGTTTTTTGTATCGGAAGAAAAGGGAAAAATTGTACCAAAAGATGTGTTTGTTTTGGATTTCTGTTGTACTAAATATTACATTTATAAATAAATATATATTTTTAAAAAAAGTTAGAGCACTCGCCTCCCAAACGAGAAACCTGGGTTCAATTCCTGGCAGGGCGAAACCTGGCGCAAGTTTCCTTACTCCACACCCGTGATAATAATCTCTCAAGAAAAAAAACAATAATAAAATTGGTCACTTCAATCCACAACTGTTTGTGGGACACTGCTGTGTGCAATTGGCTGCCACGTCTTGCCCACAAATATATAGTCAATTCACTTTACAGTATATTCTGTGAAGCGCTTTGAGACATCTAGAAGATGTGAAAAGCGCTATATCAAATGCAAGGATTATTATTTTTTATTATTTATGATGGTGGTGGTGGTGGAGGAAGATGGGAGCTTCTCATTTGAGCCTGATCCTTTTCAATGCAATTTTCAGGGTCACTGTATAGCAATCAGAAGATGAACTTTTGCTGATTTTACTCCAACCCCATCCCAAGTTGAGTAACAAGGATGCTAACTTTAGAAAGTCTATATTGCCCTAAAGATGAAATTAGAAAATTTTGTACAGACCGGCATCAAACCTAGGACCTTTCAGGACAGTGTCAGTCCAATTCCATAGTTATTGCAGAGTTCGCTAAATACAGATATATTTTAATGCAATTTAACACTTATTAACCTTATTAACTTATTAACCTGGTGCCAAGCCTCTCAAAATCCCTTTGAATAGAAAATACATTTCAGCTCAGTTTTGCACTTTCAACGTAAGCAACTATTATGGTTACTGTTCCCTTGTCCTAATCACGGGAATAAGCATTATGAAAAATGATTAATGCTCACCATGATAAATGACTACATTCTGTACTGATGTAATAATGATAGCACTATGATTTAGGCTATAGTGTCCCAATTTCACATCAATTGTCATAAATCCAAAGTCAATGAACCAGCGATAATCACTGTGCACATATGCAAAATTACAAGTCAACTATGTAAGTGGATTACTTCCATAAAATGTAATTGGTCTTTGCACATTGGGAAGGATATAAAGTACAGTAATTACAAAAATTCAAAGAAGGGATAATGGCTGATTTTGATAGTCTGAATTTGTTACAACTAAAATATGGCCCTAAAACAGTTCAGTGTTGAAGATTGTATGTATTCCCATACAAAAAATTGACTGGCTGCACAGAGTGAGTGACTTTTAATAACCATCTTTTATGCTCAAGACAGAATGTGTATGCACATTGATTAGCAAAAGTGCCTTGTTTATGTTGCAGGTGGTGCCAAAAACTGGAGGGTTAAAAAGATAGCTGACTGCAGTTCATCTGCCACTTAGATCCTTCTCATCCTCCAATTTAGTAGTTCTAGCAGTTCCTATCTTCAGTTATGCACTGGCTCCTTGTCTTGATTTCAAGGTCTCCACCATCACCTATAAATCCCTTGATGCCCTCGCACCTCCTGATCACTCAAATCTTCTCCTAACCCACTACTCTGCTGGGCAAGCTCGGGTGGCTTTGTGTGCGTGTTGAGGGGGCTGTGTGTGTGTTGGGGGGAGGGCTGTGTGTGTGTGTTGGGGGGCTGTATGTGTGAGTGTTGGGGGAGATTGTGTGTGTGGGGGTCTGTGTGTGTGTGTTGGAGGGGCTGTATGTGTGAGTGTTGGGGGCCTGTGTTGGGGGGTCTGTGTGTGTGGGGGGTGTTGTGCGTGGGGGAGGACTATGTATGTGGGGGGGCTGTGTATATACGTGGGGGCTGTGTGTGTGTGAGTGTGGGTGGGGGGGCTGGGGATGCTGTGCGTGGGCTGTGTGTGGGTGGGGGTCTGGAGGCCTGTGTATGGGGAGCTGTGGTTGGGGGGCTGTGTGGGGGGGTGCTGTGTGTGGGGGGGCGGTCAATACGGGGGGGTGCTGTGTGTGGGGGGCTGTGAGCGGGCAGCAGTGTGGGTGGGTCTGTGTGAGGGTGGGGTGGGGGCTGTGTGAAGGGCGGCTGGGGTGAGGAGGCTGTGTGAGGGGGGGAGGGGGCTGTGTGAGGAGGGGCTGGGGGGAGGGGGCTGTGTGAGGGGTTGGGGGGAGGGGGCTGTGTGAGGGGCGTGGGGGGGAGGGGGCTGTGTGAGGGGTTGGGAGGGAGGGGGCTGTGTGAGGAGGTGCTGTGTGAGGGGGGCTGGGGGGAGGGGGCTGTGTGAGGGGGGCTGTGTACGGCGGGGCTGTGGGGGGGAGGGGGCTGTGTGAGGGGGTGGAGGGGGAAGGGGCTGTGTGAGGGGGGGCTGGGGGGAGGGGGCTGTGTGAGGCGGGGCTGTGTGAGGGGGTGGAGGGGGAAGGGGCTGTGTGAGGGGGGGCTGGGGGGGGAGGGGGCTGTGTGAGGGGGGTGGAGGGGGGAAGGGGCTGTGGAGGGGGAAGGGGCTGTGTGAGGGGGTGTGGGGAGGGGGCTGTGTGAGGGGGGGAGGGGGCTATGTGAGGGGCTGGGGGGGAGGGGGGCTGTGTGAGGGGGTGGGGGGAGGGGGCTGTGTGAGGGGGGGAGGGGCTGTGTGAAGGGGGACGGGCTGTGTGAGTGGGAGGAGCTGTGTGAGGGGGGAGGAGCTGTGTGAGGGGGGAGGGGCTGTGTGAGTGGGAGGAGCTGTGTGGGGGGAGGGGCTGTGTGAGGGGGCGGGGCTGTGTGAGGGGGGCGGGTCTGTGTGAGGGGGGAGGGGCTGTGTGAGGGGGAGGGGCTGTGTGAGGGGGGAGGGGCTGTGTGAGGGGGGCGGGGCTGTGTGAGGGGGGCGGGGCTGTGAGCCGAAGCTGAGGCTCCTCCTCGCTGAGCGCAGGGCATTGTGGGAGCTGTCCGCGTGCACAATGGCTGTCACCGACGGTAAGAAATAAACACCTCCCCATGAGGGGGGGGAGGCTCAGCGCAGCCTTCACCGGCCCTTCCCTCCCTCCCCCCGCACACGCTCCTCTCACACCCCGGGGCCCTTCCGATTCGAGCTTCGGTCATGTCTCAGACTTAGGCCTCAGCGCCGACTGCAGCATCGGCCTCGATTTGTTTCTTTCTCCGTGTTAGCGTCGCGCATGCGCCCTGAGCAGCCTCCCAGGACGCGCTGGGCTGAGACTCCCCTGAACCCCCACAGCAGCCGGTGGTGCACCACATCCACCTTCACATAAAGTGTTTATCCCCTTCGATAACTACAGATTTTTTAATATATATATATAATATGCAAGAATAGAATTTAAACATTTCTGTAACACTTATTCTGTTAATAAATGGAAGTTCTGGTTCAAAATTACTTTTTCCATCCTGCCTCACTTTTGTTTAGTAACTGTAGGAGACCTTCATTTATGGACCGAGTCTTCTAGCAATTGCTGTTACAGTGCAACCCAGATGTGTAACCTGACATGTTTGGGCCAGTGGGTTTATAACTTCCATCAAAACTTTCCCACAGCAGATTGCAGCTTAATTGAATGTAGTTAGCTGGTTCTTTTACTTCTGCTGTATTCCTATAGGGTATCCACATTTTATACTTCATTGAGGTTGAACTAAGTCATCTTTGCCTGCACTTTCAGGCATCCCCCCCCCCCCCCCCCTTTCCTGATGTGCAAGGCACTATAAAAATATACATTATATTATATTGCATTTCATTATTATTAAAACTGACGTATTGGTGATGGCAAACGATTCTCGAGTAAAATGCAATCCAATTAAAATGGGAAATTTTACAAAATCAATGTTGTGAAATGTGTTTTAAACAAAGGAAAACAAAGATTAAGCAGCCAATGTAACTAGAAAATGAAGTGTTCTGGTACCTTCGTAAACATTGTTTTTGTTTCAGATGAAGTTATACGGAAGCGTCTTCTGATTGATGGAGATGGTGCTGGTGATGACCGTCGTATTAACCTGCTGCTGAAAAGCTTCATTAAGTGGTGTAATTCTGGTTCTCAGGAGGAGGGGTGTGTAATTAGGTTTTTTGAGTCTAACATTCATTATTTCTTGGTAAAAAGATCACATGGGGAAATGTTATATTAATAACCTTTGAGATTCAATTTGTGCAAATTGATGCTTAATACTGAAAAGATTGTATAATCATATTTATTGTAGGTAATGAATCATAATCTGTCAATTAAATTGCCAACTAGATTTAGCATTTTTGTATTGAGGAAAATCAATTATAATACTAGTAAAACAAAATCTTTTCATTATATGGCATTTAAAATGCAGTCATTTTGTCTACAAACACATCTAGTTGTTGTTTCATAATTCAGTAACCATAATTATACCATAATTCATGCAATTATCCTGCTTTCCAGTGTAGGGGGTATACAATAGTTTGAAGGTAGGTCATTGTTTTGTTTTATTGTTTCACATGGTTACCCACAGGAAAAGGACAATGTTTCATGAGTGGCCTGGCCTCAAGTCAAAATCAAAATTTTGCACTGTTTTTTATGTATATTCTTTATATTAAGTTGTGTCTGCCAATTAATTTGCATTGTGTGATAACTTGTGTAAAATATGTTGCTTGGTTTTATTAGCTTCATTTATTGGGTTGTTTTGCAATAGATTCTAATGTTTGCTCACTTCAGCTGATACTTCACGGTTTATTATTTAAAATTCGAATCAGTTTGGCTATTTTTAAAACATTTATTAATATTCTTGAGATAAGTAAACTTTACAACATTTTGTATTTTCTGATGATCTTGATTGTAATTTGTCTGTAAATAAGCAAGAGAGATGTTTTTATATAGTTGGTTTTGGCATTTACTACAATTTTAAACTAGATTGTTGCATTATATAAATTTGCATTGTCTTGTAGGTATAGTCAATACCAGCGAATGCTTGGTACATTGGCACAATGTGAATTTTCTATGGGAAAAACGTTGCTGGTGTATGATATGAATCTTAGAGAAATGCTCAACTATGAGACAATATATAAAGACATAGGTAAGTAAAAAATATAATCTAGTGTGTAGTAGGACAAGTGTATTAGCAGTTGCAAAGTTGTGATTCTGACTCTGCTTTATATTCAGTTGCTACTGAGAAGGATAAATGCCACAATAGCTTTTATGTGAAGCAAAATACATAATGACTACTAATTACCCACAAATAGAAAGATTCAGTCAGACTTCATAGAATAATAATCCTTGCATTTGATATAGCGCATTATCACATTAATCATAGAATATTACAACACAGAAGGAGGCCATACGGCCCATCATGCTTGTGATGGCTCTTTGGAAGAGCTACCCAATTAGTCCACTCCCCTGTTCTTTCCCCATACCATTGCAGATATTTTCTATTGCCTACTGTAAACTTTTAGATATTTACTTTAGCTTCAGAAACTAAACCTTAGTCCAGAAGCCCAAGTCATTTTTTCGTTTTTTTATTTAATCATGTCCCCATTCCAGATTGCTGTGCCAGTGTACCCTTATTGGAAAGTTCCCATGTATTACAAAACAATACAAAATTACATTTGTATAGTGCTTTTCACATCGGGAGGACATCCCAAGGCGCTGGACAGTCAGGGTTTTGGAACCGAGCTGGGGGTGCAGGGATCAGGGAGGATGGAGGGCAGGAAGGATAGGAGGGCGGCTGAAGGCATAATCAAAGAGTAGGGTCTTGAGACGTGCTTTGAAGGAGGCAAGGGAGGGAGCTAGGCAAAGGGAATTGTTGGATGGAGTTACAAAGGGTGTGGGCAGAGAGGCTGACGGCCTGAACGTCATTGATGGGCAGGGAACTTAGAGCAGGCCAGAGCCTGCTGAGCGTCAGGGAGTGGACAAGTTGATATGGGGTCAGCGGGTCACAGAAGAAGGAAGGGCAAGGTTGTAGAGGGCCTTGAAGTTGAGAATGAGGATTTTGAACTCTATCCTCTGGGGGATGGGGAGTCAGTGGAACCATGCAAGTGTGGCGGTGATGGAGTCATGGAACCTGGTGTAGGAGAGAACACGAGCTGCAGAGTTCTAAATGATCTGCAACTTGTGGAGGGAAGAGTTGGGAAGGCCGACAAGCATGGAGTTGGGGTAGTTGAGCCTAGATGTGATGAATGCGTGAAGGATGGTTTCGGCAGCCTGAGGGGTGAGGCAGTGCCAGAGCTGGGTGATGTTGCGGAGGTGGGAGATGTATTGATGTGGAGTGAGAAAAGGTTAGGTTTGGCCATTATGCAACACAGCATAAATAGTCCTCTAACACTTGCTGCCTTGCCTCACATATGAAGACTAATCTTTTGGGCAAGAATACAAGATAGCTGTTTGTCCCTTTGAACGTTAGGAACCCTGAATGTTATAGTTATGTTATACTGAGAATGTTATTTCAGACGGAGAGAAAGAGTGCAATTTTTAAAAAAAATAAAATGGACATAGAGGCAGCATATCTAAAATGGTTTGTTTTATCCTCGATATTACTTACAAAAATACAGTCACTACATTGTGCAGTAAATTCTGTGAAGCACTTTGAGATGTCTTTGTGACGTGAAAGACACTTTTTAAAATGCTATTTTATTTCACTAAGACATTTCTGTTATTTTTAGAAAATAACATTTCAGCTGCACACGACAAAATTGCCGATTGCAAAAAGCAGATTCTACGAGCAAAGCGAATACGGAAAAATCGTCAAGGTAATCTTAAAGGCGTAAAAGTTCTTTTTAGCATTAATTATAAGCTACATTTTAGTCGGCAAGTAGTCTAAATTTGTTAAACTGCTTTTATTTTGACATTTGTCACTGAAATAAAATGCTACAAAGATAACCTGGATTTTGAGGTTTGTTAGAAGCAGAGAGAATAAGATTAGCTAGTACATTAAGGTGATCTAATACTATTGTGGACTGAAAGCTTTACAGTACACTTGCTTCGCTTTCCTCCACAAATTTCTCACCTCCTTTACTGAATGTGCTGATCTTTTCATTGTTTACTTGATTAATATCTATTTGTATTTTTGCAGAATATGATGCATTAGCAAGAGTGATCCAGCAACATCCAGACAGGCATGAAACTTTACAGTAAGTGTTTTCTAATTAAATGGTTCTGTTTTGCTTTGTCTCCCATCATTGTGTCCATCCTCTACTGAGAAACAAATACAGTCTTTTGTTACTATAAAACAAGATTAAGCGCTTTGAGATGACTCAATAAGGCCCTATATCAAATCCGTGGATTATTATTATTATTATAATGGGTCTGCGATTTTAAAAAACACACAAACTATCCCATTTCCGGATTGTTGTGTTGCTATCAACCTCACTTCTTGTGAAAACTGGCTGGCTTCCTCCGCAAACAAAAGTTACATTTGAGTACTGTCTTTGCTCAGTATTTTTTTTAAATTTGTAGGCAGCTAGAAGCACTGGGAAAAGAACTTCAACACCTTTCTCATATAAAAGAGAGTGTGGAAGATAAGGTAAAATAAAGACCAGATCCATCCATTACTTTTTCGATTCTCCTGTCAGATTAACAGTCCTAATTTAATGTCTTCTCTCCTTAGCTTGAACTGAGAAGAAAACAATTTCATGTTCTCCTCAGCACCATACACGAACTACAGCAAACTTTGGAAAGTAAGTATTCATTTCTCAAGTAAAGACACGTTTTCAAGGGTGCAAATCCAATAAAATATATAACGTAAAACTATTCAACTTCCACAGTTTTGTGGAAAATAAGTGTCTTATTATATCTTGTGCTTCCTTTTCTCTTGCTCATCCAGATGACGAGAAATTGTCAGAAGCTGATGATTGCCCAGAGACTGAAATGGAGATGCAAAATGACCACTAGTGGAATTGCTGCTGAAACTTTGTATTTAGGTTGTGTCAAAACATCTTTTGACATGAGCAAACTAGAACTAAGTTTTGTTTGAAACATTTTGTGTTCACATTGTAAAATGAGTTGAGTTGTTCAAACAAATACAAAAAATCTTTATTCATTGAGAAGTTGGAAATGTTTGAAAATAAAAATTTCCTGCAAGTTATGGTTGGATAGACACAATAGTAAATTTACAGTTGTTACTCCAAAGGATCTAGGGTGTTCATTATGGAATCTATATCTCATTAAAATAAAGTCAAAACAAGCAATTTAAATAACTAATTAGTGCAAGATAATATTTTTCTCAATTGACTATCAAAAGAAAACTGGAAATGCTTCCCAGGTGCCAACCAACATATTTTTTGCCATCTGTTTTTTATAAAAAACACTTTCCTTAAGCTTTTGTTCAAGAACTTGATTACTGTAACTGACTACAATTGTCAAGTGAATCAATCATTAACTTTATTAATAGACTAGATATATTGGGGACAGTCTTTGCCTAGAGGTCTATTTTCTCTTAAAATTTAAGATTGCACATGATTGAGGAAAACTAATATATTTTTAATTTGGGAGCTATTTTTCAATAATATTATTTTCCACAATTCTGCTTTACAGGCTAAGATTGGGTGAAATTTCAGGCTTCTCTGCTCTCTAATAAAATGTATTCCCCCTTTTATGTTTTCTATTTTTAAACATTGCCTCTGATAGTAATGAGCTAAACTTGTTTTTGTTTTGTACCATTGTAACACACAGAATAAAACTTACCTGATTTTTAAAAAAAGTCAAATTGCAATGTGCATGTTGTGATTTTTATTTTTTGAGATGTACTGTATGCTTTTACATTTCTTCTGTCTCAGAAGTAGGATAAGGAGCTACTTTCAAACATTAAGTTATCAACTTTGTGCAAGTTTTGGATATTTTGGTAAAAGGAGGATTAAATGTTAAATGGATAATGAACTGGAGAAGTACAAAGGAAGAGTGAATTCTCTCTTTGAAATAAACTATTCTGCTGGGGCAACATTACCTTCAGGTTCCCCTATGGTCACTCATATTGACCTATGTAGACCTTTCTTTCTATAAAAACTAATAAAATAAAGTGCAATGGTCCAATATGGAATAATGGAAATTCCCTTTATGCATTCTGCATCAAAACTGTTTTTGGTACTGCATTATCTAAAGGTTGTGTAAGATCACAGTTGTAATCTATAAATTAGACAGTGGGCAGGTTGACGAAAGATGTCAGTACTATAACATACATTGCTTGTGTATGGGTAACCCTTATGGTTTTGCTTTATGCACACTTGAGAACTATAATAAATCTAATTTTCAAAAGAACCTTTAAAAAAATGCCAAGATGAACTGCGTTTTCTGTCCTAGATTGCAGTCTTGCTCATTCTGTGCAACTTTATTTAAACTTAAGGCAAATATATAGTTCAAAAAATCTTCTTTTGTGCAACTTAGATAGTTGTATGTTTAAAACCTAAGAGCTATGTGATTTAAATGGAGCATAAGCATGAAGCATGTTTTCTTTGGTAAATGATTAGCATAAACATAGTAGCCTACCATGGAGATTAATCCCAGAATATCTTTCATTAACCTGACACAACCTATTTGTTGTACACCAAGCTAATTGTAATAACGTGCCAATATAAAGCATTTAGAAAGGTTGCTGTCTTTTGACAGTGACTGCATTTATTGTAGGTTTGTTCTGATGATTCACCTGACAACCCAGGTATTATTTCCTCTATCAGTGTCTAGTGGTGCACTGACTATTATTCTTGACCCCAAATAATGCTCCTTAAAACAAATAATAATCTATGGAAAAAGTGTATGATATTGTGGAAACAATCATTCAGTTGAAAGTTTAGCTTGGTTTAGCAGCAGCACCCACATAGGAAACAATTCTTCCACTTGTACTTTTGTGCACTTCTCTTGGAAACTCGCTGGAACTGCTTAGAGGATTGTAGAATTTCATCTCCAAGATTCTCACACTGCTGGAGTTCTGCATGTCTTTGAGCCAGTAATCGCATTGATTTTTCTGAAACTGTGTCTACCAGTTCATCCACCTAAGTGGAAGAATGTCATATAGATGTTATTTTAAGTCTTTTTAAATTTATATATAAATATAAAATTCATAAAATGTTGCTTCACATACATGATCTCATGCATTATTCATCATCGTATTGTCTACAAATAGTGTTCCAACAACAACTTGTACTTGATTGAGGGAGAGTGTTCCAGAGTTTCGGGGTGTAGTGGCTGAATCCACGACCTCCAAATGGTGGAGTGGAAGGCGCGAGGGATGAGGAGGAGGCCGGTGCCAGTCGAGGGGAGGCTCCGGGTGGTGGATTGGGGAGTGAGAAAGTCAGAGGTCGGGAGGTGCCAGAGAGTGAAGGGATTTGAAAACTTATTCTCTCAGATGGTGTGTTGTAGAATGCTAATTATTTTTAAACTTAGAAACCACATCCAGACTTCCTTTAAGGTGCAAAAAGTAACTAAGTTAGATCCAGTATCTACCAATATTGGATATCCATTTGCTCACATGATGTCTGTCTGGAGTTTATACCTGAATTGAAAAATCTGCTATTGGCCACCTCTTGGGGAGAAATTGCATCTGAAATTTACTCCTCAAAATTTACTCCTTTAAGTGACATTTCTGAAAGTCCAGAACTTGGTAAATTCTTAGAGCCTAATTTTGAAACTGGTTTACTGTAAGGATATCAAGGCTTTGGAGAGGGTGCAGAGGAGACTTACCAGAATGGTACCAGGGATGAGAGACTTGTTATGTGGAGAGACTAAGGAAGCTGGGGTTGTTTTGCTTAAGAGTAGAGAAGGTTAAGGGGAGATTGCATAGAGGTGTTGACAAGTATGAGCGTAGATAGAAAGAAACTATTTCCACTGGCCGGTGTGTCAATGCCCAGGGCACATAGATTTAAGATAATTGGCAAAAGAACCAAAGAGGAGATGGGAGAAATATTTTACACAGAGTTGTTATGGTCTGGAATGCACTGCCTGAAAGGGTGGTGGAAATAGATTCAATAACAACTTTGAAAAGGGAATTGGATAGGTACTTGAAACAAAAAAATTGCAAGGATATGGAAAACGAGGGGGGGAATGGGACTGATTGGGTAGCACTTCCAAAGAGCTGGTACAGGCACGATGGGCCAAATGGCCTCCTGTGCTGTAATATTCTATGATTCTATAAGTTCATTAAGAACTAAAGAAAACCTAACTTCAAAGTTATGCACCAAATTAAACCATTCTCCAAATCCTGGGTGTTTTAACATACCAGAATAAATCTAGACCCAGGTTTAATTTCCTCCTTACAGAGGTTCATTGGTCCTATGCACTAATGTTGATACGTCTGCTATGCAACAACAGCAGCAAATTGCAGCAATATAGTGCACTGTTTATTCAGATTGCTCTGCAGCTGATAACTGTCAAATCAAAACATACATTGTAACTTGAATACCGTGTGGATGTACATTTGGTTAGGTAAATGAAGAATGGTTTACAAGGAAGTAATGTGTACTTACTTGAGCCTGCAGTTTCCCCACTGTCAGAAAAGAGTGCCGCCTATTTTGTTCCAGATTTTTTCTTTTTATCCTTTTGAATATCTTAAAGCATTGCTTTTTCTTTGATGAACAGACTGCCTGTGATAAGACAAACATCATTTCAAATATCAGAACATACAATTAGTTACCCCGCCCAGCTTCATCATTCACAGGCCAAAGTCCATCCTAAATTCAACCGCTCTTATCCTTAACGCTCTTATCCTACACTGGCCTGAAATCTCTCTGACTCACCCCTCTCCCTCTCTGCTTTCAAAACCTGCCCAAAAACCTTTTCCACTGTGCCGTACATGAAAGGCACTGTATAATTGCAAATCGGCTCTACACACCTTGTTCTACCTTGTTCTCCCAGAGCAAATTGTTGCTGTTGTAAACCCGCAGTAATTCCATACAAACAATAAATTACAAATAATATATTCCAAACCTTTTGCTGTTCAGCAGGGAGGCTTGTAACAGACACTCGCCGGGACATTCGGTGGGATCTCACAACTAGATTGTTACCAACAATCCTCGCTGTCTCCGCTTCCACAACATCCACATCAACCTGAATAGTTTCTGCAAGAGAAATTGCATTTGAAGATTTGTATGTCAAACCTTAAACTTGATGTTTAAAATGTTTTTCTGCTCTGGACCCTACTCTGCACCTATTGTATTTATAGGGAGGCTCAGTCAGAATGTGCTCCTGTTGCAGGTTGGCGTAAGTCTACTGTGGATCTATGCTATACCACAATTGCAGTATACAGATGTTCTGGCACAGACAAGGCGCTAAAAAATGTACTTCTTGCCAAGTTCCCATTGATGTCATTCCTCACATGCTGTAGGAATATCTCCCTTTGCTCTTTTGATGTCTTAAATCTATGCCCTCTAGTTACCAACTGGATTTTTTCAACAAGCCTCCTATGTGGCACTTTATTAACTGCCTTTTGAAAATATGTTTCAGTTTTTGTGCACAGGATTCTGCTTTAGCATAAAGTGTGAGCAATGGTGGTCAGTGGTAACAGCAAACTGCTATTGCTCACTGCACACCTTGGTTCAACAAGTTGTATAAGTGAGGCACTACATTCCAGTTAATTATAGGTAAAAGCAAGAAGAAAGAGGAGTTTCAACTTCAAATTTCTGCATAAAATGCTGCCAAGCTCTTTCATCAACATTGGTGGAATTCAGGATGAGGAGCAACACCACACATCAGTTGGTCTTGGTTTCCCTCAAACAGAGTAACATTTTTTTCTCCCATAGCATTTCACCCATTGACCCACCTGAGAAGCTGACGAAGCTCACACAACTGAGGCAAACCATTAGGCTTGAACTTGTAACTCTGGTTGGGAGTGAAGTATGTAACAACCATTTGAGACAGCTAGTTGTCTGAAGCTAATGACTTTGTGTAACTGAATCGGACTTGAGCATCTGCCTTGGTTTTGTTTGCTCTTATTTACACATCTGTATACAAACCAGTTTTTTGAGGATGTGTCTTCAATGTTGAAAATATCTTGTTTTCATCAATATCGTGCAGTTGCTTGGATGTAGCCTTGGATGCTTTATTGTCCCTGTGCCTGTATGATATTGAGTTATTTTTCAAACAACTTGATGCTTTTCTTCCTGGGAATGGTTTCTGTGAGTCAACATCCCTGCTTATTCTCGGAACAAGATCATATTTTGTTGGAAAACCCCAAATATTTCTGCTTCTCGGGAGGCTCCCGTGGTGGCTACTTTGCATTCTCTTATCCAGTGCCTTCAGCTGCTGTTGTTGTTGGTGATGTGCTGTTAATCTGACAACCGTTTTCCACATTTTACTCATGATGTTTATTTTCTTAGGTTTCACAGTTTCACTAAGTTCAGAATCACTCCCTGTGGATGGATCATCTTCAGGAAGGAGAATTCCAGGCTTGACTAGATTGGTGAAAACAGCTCTGTGCCACCTGAGCCAAAGAACCAGATAGAAAATAAAATAAGAGTCAAGTCATCTGCTCCTAACATCCTGAATTTTGATGTGCGTAATTGGCTGCAATGTTTCGCCCCAAAATTCACTTTGCAGTATATTCAATGAAGCGCTTTGAGACATCTCAATGGCGTGATGAGGCACTATAGCGCAAGGATTATTATTTATTATTAGGATTTTAGAGCATGCAGAATTTGTCAAATTGTTTAATTCTGACTCAACTTTGAAGCTACTTTTCTGTAGTTCTTGAAAGAAACTTAAAGAAAACTGGCAAAAATTAGGACATCATTTAAGAATTTCCCAAATTCCGAACAGATCTGAAACAGTAAATCTAGTCTCAGGTGGAATTTCATCCTTACCTGAGCAGGTGAGTATTCGTATATTTAACTCTTTAGTAACTGCAAGACCACTTAATAATAGTAAATGATAATAATCCTTTCATTTGATATAGCGCTTTTCACGTCTTCTAGATGTTTCAAAGCGCTTCACAGAGTATACTGTGTATACAGAATATACTTCACAGAATATGCAGAATACACTAAAGTGAATTGACAGTATATTTTATGGGCTATTTTGTGGGTATATTCAACTCACCGACCCACAACCGTGGCCACCCCCTTGACCTCGTCATCACACATGGCCTTGACATTTCCAACCTGTGCATCATGGACAAGGCCATCTCGGACCACTTCCTCATCTCCTTCTCCTCTCACATCTCTCTCCCTTCCATCAACACTTCAACCATACTTTTCTGCCCATGGAAAAGGCTTCCCCCAGAGACCCTCACAAAGGCCCTCTCCTCCTCAGACCTCCTATCCCTCTGGCCTTCCACCCAAAGGTCCCTGAATCAGCCAGGACCGTCTCCAAACCCACCCGCTCCCCCTGGTACAACAGCCATCTCTGCTCCCTAAAATACCAAACCCTGCTGCTCGGGTGCAGGTGGCAGAAAAACCTCACCATTCACCACCAGCTGTGGCTTGAGCATCTTCACACCTATCGCCGTTCCCTGTCACAAGCAAAAACTGAGCACTACTGAAACATCATACTAGAGGCCAACAATAACTCCAAAATCATATTCTCCACCACGCAAATCTCCATGCGCTCCTCAAGCCCCTCAATCATCACATCTAACCCCAAGTGCGAAGAGGTCATAGACTTCCTTACCTCTAAAATTGACAACATCCACCTGGCTGCTTCATCCCTCTGCCCCGTGTCACCTATCACCACCCCCATTCCGTCTCTCTTGCCCACCCTCAGCTGCTATCATGGCCTCCATCCTTCATTCATTTGCCCCCATCTCTCCTTCCTCCCTCTCATCCACCATCACCACAATGAAACCCATCACCTGCTGCCTCAACCCCCTCCCTACCCAACTGCTGATCACTCAGCTCCCACTCCTCTGCCCACTGCTGTCAGACACTATTAACCAGTCTCTCTCCTTAGGATCAGTCCCACTCGCCCTCAAAACCACAGTCATCACCCCCCTCCTTAAAAAACCTACCCTCGATCCCTTTAAACTCGGCCATTACCGTCCTATCTCAAACCTACTCTTCCTTGCCAAAGCTCTGGAATGCATTGTTGCCAACCGACTTCACGCACTCCTCTCCCTCCACACCCTACTCGAACCCCTCCAGTCCGGTTTCCGCTCTCCCCCAGTACAGAGACAGCGCTCGTGAAGGTCACAAATGATATCCTCTCTATCTGTGACCAGGGCTCCCTCTGCCTCCTCATCCTTCTGGACCTCTCCTGCGTTCAACACAGTCGATCACGCCATCCACCTCCACCGACTTTCCTCCATCATCCACCTCAGTAGGACCGCACTCGCTTGGTTCGAGTCCTACCTTACAAACTGCCAGCTCTACATTTCTGCATATGGCTTTTCTTCGCGCTTCCACCCAGTCACCTGCGGGGTACCCCAAGGCTCCATCCTTGGCCCCCTTCTTTTCCTCATCAAATGCTTCCTCTCGGTGATGTCATCCGCAGACACGGGGTTAACTTCCACATGTTTGCAGATGACAATCAACTCTACTTTTCCAACTCCAGCTGCAACCCCCAGTCCTCTGATGTTCTGTCAGTTTGTCTGTGGGACATCAGGACCCAGATGAGCACAAATTTCCTGAGATAAACATCAACAAGTCGGAAGGCATACTCTTTGGCTCCCACCGACGTCCTCTGTCCCACGGTTCCGACCTCCTTAACCTACCTGACCTGTCCTTAAAACTCTCTGAGCCCATGCGCAACTTAGGCATCAGGTTCGATCCCCAGTTATCTTTCCTCCTCCACATCTGGTCCCTTTCTTCCACCTCCGTCACATTACCTGTCTCCGACAATACTTCATCCCAAAAGCTGCCGAAACTCCTGTCCGTGCCTTTGTCACCTCTCGGATGGACTACTCTAACGCCCTCCTCGCTGGTCTCCCCTCCTCCACTATTCACAAAATTCAACTCATCCAAAACTCCGCAGCCAGCATTCTCACCCAAATCAAACTTCGTACCTCAATTACTCCAGTCCTTGCCAAACTCCATTGGCTCCCTGTCACATAGTGGATCAATTTCAAGATCCTCACTAGTGTTTAAATCCCCCCATTCCTCGGCAACCCCCCTATCTCTCTAACCTCCTCTCCCCCCACAGCAGTACCTACTGCCTCTGCTCTACTGGGTCCAGCCTCCTCCGTGTCCCCCGAATCCTTTGCTCCACCATCAGCAGCCATGCCTTCAGCCACTACACCCCGAAACTTTGGAACTTCCTCCCTCAACCTCTTTGCTTCACCCCTCCTTCCCCATTTTCAGGTCGCCCCTGAAGACCTTCCTTTTTGACTGCTCCTATGAATCACCTTCCCCCACAGCTTAAGTGATCTGAGATGCCACCTGGCGTGAAAGTAGTGCAAGTTGTTGTTGGGCGAAACACGGCAGCCAATTGCTTACAGCAGTGTCCCACAAACAGTCGTGGATTGAAGTGACCAATTTATTATTGTTTTTTTTTCTTGACGGATTAAACAATTGTGTGCGGTAAGGAAACTTGCCGAAGGTTTTGCTGTGCTGGGAATCGAACCCACGTTTCTCGCTTGCAAGGCGAGTACTCTAACCACTGAGCTACAGGACTTCACTTGTATGATTTGAAAAAAAATTAAAAAAGTTCATTTTAAATTGTAACAGTTAGTTACAAATAAACCAAACTTGACTGTTTGTTGCTTTTGTCATACAACTGGAATTGCAATAATACTTGCAGTTAATTGTTAATAATCTAAAAAAGCAATGCACGCAAGTAGCTGTATTCACTTTGTCGCTGCATCCCTGCACTTGTGAAGTAAAGATAATTCCCATGTTTGCTAAACAGGCAAAGTAATAGTATAGTTACTGTTGTACAGTCTTTTCAGTATCATAATACCTCTTATTTGCTGTGGGAATTTTAAAATATTAAAAATGTATTTATTGCCTAGAAAACATAAATTATCAGAACTTCTGCATTGATTAGTGATATGCTTACCTTGCATTTCCTTTTCCCCTATGTTCAAGCGTCTCCGTTTCTCCTTTTATCATACCTCTGTGGGTTGCCTCTCGGGAACCAAAGTAACTTTTGCGAATCTTGTGCATGGTACTGGGTAACTATTGCAATACAACCATGGACTAAAACCGTAATTTTTACACAGTCCAAAATATTAATCTGAAATCTCAAAGGAAACAGATAAATGTTTAAAGACAGATGATATCCTGTACTCATTGCTGCTTATTAAGTAAGTTGGTATTTTTGGAATTTGAAACTCATTTGGTTGGCTCTGTGAAATGTCGAGCTATGCAGCAGTGAGACTAGATAGATGAGAAATCTAGAAGGGCTTTGTGAAATTCCACAAAACATAGCAAGATAGTTACTCCAGGTTATTAGATAGAGTAACTTGGTAACTAACTGACTTTTACTGAACTAGTAAACAAGTCTGCAAGACAATGTATTGGAAATACCAAACTGGAAGATCCAGTAATGGATTTCATAATTAAGAACAAAGTGCTACTGTTAATCACTGAAATGATTTAATAACTTCAGATGGAATAGTTTGTAATGTCAGGTCTCTTGTCATGCTAGCTATCCACAGAACACCTCTAAAACTGCTGTTACTGTTTCATTGGCAATTGGAAAATGCATTAATCTAATACCTGGATTTCTTCTGTGGTATCCTCCACCCGAAAAAAACTCTCAAAACTTAGGATATGTTTTCAGTTTCTTTATTCTTCAAATCTTGGGCTGCACATGACTATTTCAGCCCTGTCTTCTGTTAGACACAACAGATGTGACTAATTTAGCTAATTTAACTTAGCTCAATTAATAGCTTAATAGATATTGTTACACATATCATTGCAGGTTATACTTACTTGAACCATCCGGAGAGGTTTAAAAAGTCTTTCTTGTCTGAGCGTTGCTAAAGATCTTAAGTGAAATTAATTTGACTTGTCTGAAACTGCTCAGCCTGTGTGGAAGCTCGTGGAGAAGATCTCCTCGTAATCCCTCTCTGTTGCCCTGGAATCCTTTGATCTCCTCCCTCTCTGGCCCATCTCTCCAACAGCCCACTCGCTATACTCACTCTTCTCCACGACACTCACTGACCTTGCCCCCCTCACCTCCCGAACTGCCTCCCATTCCCGATCCTCATCCTGGTTCACCAGCCACCTCCGCTTGCTTAAGGGCCAGGTGCGGGCTGCCGAACGCACTTGGCTCAAATCCGGCCTAACTGTCCACCGCCACAACTGCCAGGACCTCATCAAGACCTACCGCTCCACTCTCCCCTCAGCCAAATCATCCTTCTATTCCAGATTAATCCTGGAGGCGAAAGACAATCCCAGGCTCCTGTTCTCCACCACCAACTGGCTCTTCCGCCCTCCCCGCCACGCCTCGTAGATATTTTTCTCTGACTCTCACTGCACGAAAATGCTGGACTTCTCGAGTCCAAAATCGAGGGAATCCACTCAGCTGACACTCCCTCCCAACTTCCACCCCCTCCCTACCCCCACCCCTCACAATTACCCATCCGACAATTACCTATCCATCCTTCCACACCTTTAAACCTGTCACCCCCTCCTCTGTCTTCAAAACGGTAACCTCCATGAAGTCCACCACCTGCTCCCTCAGCCTCATCCCCACCCCTCTCCTTAAATCCCAGCTCCACCTCCTTGCCCCAATACTTGCCGACATCATTAACCTCTCCCTGTCATCTGGCACTGTTCCTTCCCTTCAAAACAGCCACTATCACCCCCACCTTGAAAAAACCTTCCCTCGACCCATCACAGCTATCTAGTTACCGGTCCATCTCAAATCTCCCCTTCCTATCCAAGGTCCTTGAGAGAGCCGTTGCCTCCCAGCTTCGCTCTTTCCTCTCCTCCCACTCCCTCCATGAACCCCTCCAATTGGGTTTCTGTGCTGCCCACAGCATGGAAACTGCTCTGGTCAAGGTCACAAACAACATTCTGACCATGTGTGACCAGGACTCCCTCTGCCTCCTCATTCTCCTCCACCTCTACCTCGACGCCGCCTTTGACACTGTGACACTCAATCCTCCTCCACCGGCTCTCCTCCCACCTCAACTTTCAAGGATCTGTCCTTGACTGGTTCAGGTCCTACCTTTCACAACGCCTCCACTTCGTCGTGGCAAACAGTTTCTCCTCCAGCCCCCGCACTGTCTCGTGCAGTGTCCCTCAGGGCTCTGTCCTCGGTCCCCTCCTCTTCACCCTCAACATGCTCCCACTTGGTGACATCATCCGCAGACATCAGGTAAATTTCCACATGTATGAAGATGACAACCAATTCTATCTCTCTGCCTCCAACCTCAACTCCAGGACTACTGGCGTCTTGACCGACTGCCTGTCCGACATCAAGTTCTGGATGAGGGACAACTTTCTCCAACTCAACGTCAGCAAGACCGAGGCCTTCCTGATTGGCTCGCGCCAGCGCCTCCACACCTCAGGCGCTGGCAGCATCAGCCTCCACGGCTACACACTCAACCTCTCTAAGCCAGTCAGGAGCCTGGGTGTCTTGTTTGATCCCGAACTGTCCTTTCTCCCCCACATCCGCACCATGACCGGCACTGGTTACTACCACCTCTGCAACATTGTCAGACTCTGACACTTCCTCACCCCTCAGGCTGCCGAAACCCTCACCCACGCATTCGTCACATCAAGGCTCGATTACGGGAACTCCTCCTCGTCAGCCTTCTTAGCTCTTCCCTTCACAAGATGCAGATCATCCAAAACTCTGCAGCTAATGTACTCTCATGCCCCAGGCTCCGTGACCCCATCACTCCCACCCTCGCCCGACTCCACTGGCTCCCCATCCCCCAGAGGATCGAGTTCAAGATCATCGTCCTCACCTTTAAGACCATTCATGGCCTTGCCCCTCCTACCTCTCTGACCTGCTGACTTCCTACCAACTTGCCCACTCCCTCCGTTGAGTGGGCTCCAGCCTGCTCCACGTCTCTTGCCCGACCTGCCCTACCATCGGTGGCCGGGCTTTCAGCCTCTCTGCCCCCACACTCTGGAACTCC